TAAGAAGTAATAAATTTTGAAAAGATCTCTCCATAAATGCTCTGGAACATCACCGTTGAATTTTTTTTTCTAGGCAATGTATTAATTGTTTAAAATGTGCTACTGTACAATGCTTTTGAATTTAAATAAGTCCATTTTCCTAGAAATGTTACTTCATCTTGGATTCTTTCCAAAACCAATGTGTGCGGTTTAGTCATACTTATCCCTTTTCGATGTATATTTGTTTGCTTTCCAGATGAATGGTCATTTTTTTTCAGTAAATCCTAGTTAGTAGGACTTACAGAATCGTAAGTGTTGATGTTGAATCCCTTTTTCAAAGATTCATTCTTCCTATTTATAAACAATTTTATTCACCACTAAATTCATCCCATGTCCAATGTGCTGGCTCATTTGGAAGGGACAATTTTGCCTTGGTCCGTGTGGCTCTGTGGGGAGCCATTGACACCATAATCCTTTTCCATGCCCTTTGGAGAGATAGGAGAATACTTAAATTTAGGTGGGACTTCTGTGAAAACAGTCACCTGCAATAGCAGAGGCTGGACTCCAGGGCTGAAGAGTGGGAAAGATGGATGTTCCTGGTGTTTTTATGGCAGTGCTGTCTATGAGCAGGATGCTGGCTCTTCATGTCAGCATGCCCAGCCTTCTTAAGCCAACGGAGACGTGAACGTGGGTTTTGCCTGCTGCCTCCAAGGAGCAGATGGCCTTGCTCTCTGATGAACTGATGGGCAATTTCTGCCAGTGAGATACTTGTTGGCTTTTGTCCCAGGACAAATGTCTTTGGCTACAAGATTCTAATCTGTTTTCATCAGCATTTCTCTTCTGATTCTTTGAGTTTACTGGCACAGATTTAACAGAGCAACGATGTCTTCTTACATGCGTTAGCATCACAGAAATGTTGTTTGCCAAGGACCTTGGCAGGTTGTTTAGTGTAGTCTCTTGCTTGGAGCAGGACTATTGCAAACATTAGGTCAGGTCAGCCCTGGTTGTCTGTCAGGGTCTTGCTTCTCCCTTAGATCCACAGTGCCCAGCAGGGACTCATTTGCTTGATACAGAGTTATAGGCTATAGGCAGTGGCTGTAGACTTAAATATAAACTTGAATACCTACTTCATAACAAGGGGTTCTTACAAGGGCCCCTGCTGCCCCTCTTTTCTTCAAAGATGCTTCCTGACTTTTTTTTTGGTCATCTCTAATCCCTACCTCTCACCTGGCTTCTCGAAGTCCTTAAGGTAGCAGGTCGTTTGTTTAAGTGACCCTCAGGTTAAACCTCCCTAAATATACCCTATTGTAGTTTCTGGGATTCACAAGTGAAAAGTTGGGTCTTTACACTCATATAGGGAGTAATTACAGCTTAGTCTTTAAAAATACCCTCACTTTTTTATATTTAAAGACTAATTGAATGTTTGTCTTCCATCTTCTCTGCCTATTATAGATCACAAAGTACTCAGAGAAAACATTTAAATAAAATGTTTAAATTCTGATGCATCTGAATAACGGTAACTTATCCAGGAAAAGTGTTCTTAGGCTATCAGTTCCATCTCTCTGGCACTACAGAAGACATTAAAAATAAAGTTTCTTGGATGCTGATGACACTGCATCAGCTTTATCACAGAAAATATTTTTTTAGCATCTCAGATCATTATAAAGTCTAGGACAAATATAGCACTTGTCAAATGCCATTTGTCTGAGAAACAGAGTGATAAGATCGTATCGTGGTGTTATGTGTCTGAAGTTGTATCTTTTAGAAGCTAGGACACAGGACCAGTATTCAGGAAGTCATTTTGCAAACACAAAATTGAGCATGTAACTGTTCTATGCCTCATATTTTCCATCTGTAAAGTGAGGACAGTGATATTTCCTTCTTTTGAAAAGTGCTTTCTGATTTAAATATCTATTATTATCATTATTACTGTTGAGAGTGATATCAACTCTGTTCTGAATTGGTTATAATTAGAATGTTTAGATGAATGAAAATAATTACAGAACCCTTATGCTGCAAACATTTAAGCCTGTGATTTTATGTACGCAAGTAATCTCAGTGACTTCAATGATGCTACTAACATGAATAAAGTTAAGCACGTCTGAAATGTTTGCAGGATCAGGACTGCAAGGGTCTAAGATACCCTAGCTCTTAAAAACAAATAAGCAGTAAGAGACTTCTCAGGAAAATATCTGGGAAAAAATATTTTAATAGTATGTTACTACATGTTGTACAATGAATCCTGATTTGTTTCACAAAACTTGATGGTATAGCCATTGGTGATAAATACTGTCTTTGATATCGTTCAGCATATTTTTTTTGTGGAAAATTAATCCTTCTTTCTATTTTGGCTACAGTCCAAAACCTTTGGCTACAGTGCAAAAGATTATTGTTAAATATGTTTTGTTAATAAGAAGCCTGACTCAGGGCAGACTTCATGGTAAATGACTGATTATTAGGGATATCAAACTGACCTATTTCTGTGTGCCCATTCCACTGCTAGAACAGCTATCATTAGAGCTTGTTGAAAAAAAATGGATTTATTTGGAAGAAATAGTTTCTGTGTTTATATTGTATGGGTTTAGTTTTCTATATGATAGATAGTTATTAAGCATTTCTCCACACAGGGAAAAAGTCTCATGAACATACGCTGTAGAAAAGCTTCTTAGTAGTAGAAGTTTAAATATTACAAAAATGCATGCCAGATACACATTGTGAGGAGACTGTTCAAACCTCTGTGTGTGACATATTGATCAGAACTGAAATACAGATGAGGCCTGACTTGCCACTACAGAATGCAGTAAAGTGTCCTTATCTGCATTCTAAACAGAAAAAAACCCTTGACCAACCAGAACCTTCTGCATTCTGGGAATGGAGCATTTTATCTGTTATATACCATGTAATTTTTCTGTCCTCCTTCCTTCAGTTACCTTTAATTTTCCTGTTTATACAGTTGATGGATTGGATAAGGCTTCAATTGCTAACTCGGATGGGCCAGCCCCAGGATCCCAAACTCCTCCCTTCAAGAGAAAGGGCAAACTCTCTACCATTGGCAAAATCTTTAAACCTTGGAAATGGCGGAAGAAGAAGGCAAGTGACAAATTCAGAGAAACATCGGCAGGTATGTGCATGGCCCTTTGCTAGCAAATAGTAAAAAATAGTGGAATGGCTTTGCAGAGTAATGCTTGAAAAGGTCTTGTACCTAATTAGACAGACAAGAATTTGTAGGCACAGTGTTTGATGTAACGTAAAAAACGTTTGATCCTTGGCAAGGCAAAATACCTCATCTTCTGTCCTGAAGATTCTCCTAATCGTCACAACTTGAAACAAACCTTGCCTTCATGGGGACAGAAGTTTAGTGTGTTCAGAGGGGAGAAGAGGATGTGGCCCTGGTTGGTGGAGTCTGGTCAGAAGAACAAGGATCAATGTTGCAGTTGTGGGTTTCATGCGGGCCCATGGTTCCTCTGCTCCTCTGTTGACAAGATTTGAAGAACAGTCTAAAATAAAACACTGACTGAACATTTCATGTGAAAAAGAGCAAGATTGAGGACTGGGATTCAGTTATCAAACACAGGTGCTTTGTGCTATCTGAGATGCTCCGGGGTATCCTGGCTGGTCTCAGGCTGCTTTTCCAGAAGTTGCCTTGTTGTGTTTGCCATCCCTGTACAGGTGTCTCGGATACCCTTGGGCCTTTCTAGTGGCTCTAGACACTTATGTTTAAGAAACTGAAGCCTAGTGCGTGTGCATATATCCATAGGGAGAGAGAGAAACTGCATGTATATAGAGATATGCTATATATAATGTATATCATGTGTATAGTCTCTCTGTTTCTCTCTATATATATTTGCATATACCCACCCCGTATATTTGTGTGTGTATGTGTGCGTCATAGCTCTCGCCAAGCTTTCTCTAGAAAAATCCCAAACTTCTGTTTTGGGATTCAGACATTTAATGCTGTATTCTTCTAAACTGGAGTCTAATCCAGGAAGTGTCTATGGGCTCTTCAGGTTCATTACTGCAGGGCAGGTGCTCTGAGGGATCTCCCGTGACCCTAGGCTGTAAAGGCAATACGAATAGCCTTAAGTGCCCTCAGTTGGCTCTCCTGAACTTTCAAGAGTGTGCTGCTTTACATTTTAACAATCTCATACAACAATCCCTAACAGTTGCAGCAAGAAGCGCTCTAGTTTTGCAGTATTAGTTCCAAAACATGCTTTGTTTGCACAGAAAGCAAAAAGCAAAGAACTTCAAAACCCCTTTGCTAATGCCATCATCATTCAAGACACCTATTGAAGACATGGACAGTCTTTCTGATACCCAAATCCTTCCCTTGTCCTGCTCAGTCTCTCTCTCTCTCTCTTTTTTTCCCTCCTGGGTGGCCTGCAAAAAACCTTCCACAATTTATTTCATATTGCAATGAAAAAGTTCCCCTCAGTTGGGTATCTCCCTCGTTGCTTCTGTCTTCCTTCAGCTTCTCCAATACTTTTGTTGTATAGAAACAAAATTTTTTCTTGTTAATGACTCCTGCTGACTGACTGCAGTTTCTGCAGCTGCTTTTAGACAGGTATGTGATTGAATAGACACTGAATTAATCAAGCTAATCAGAATTCATGTCTGTATATACAGAGATTCCTCAAACTGTCATAACACGTTAGCATATACTACATTGTTTTGCCCTTAGATAATAATGTGTATGTCATTTTGCAGTTATTTGTTTACAAGTTAATATTTGATTTATTGATGCTAAGTATAGTATTTCTTATGTTATATGATCTTTCTTTAGTGGGCTCAATCCAGTCTTCATTGCGAATCAATTCCCATAGAACCAAGACAAAATATATGTTCATTTTTCTTTTACAAAAGGAAAAACATTAAATATAAAAAAGATAAGTTCAACATTTCCGAAAGAGTGCTTCGTTACTTGCTTAGTTTGCTGTGTTGTTGATGCTGGTCTAGTCCTTCAGGACGTTGGAGAGCCTTTCAGGACAGTGGAGAACACACAGTTCCCGTTGGCACTGGCTTCAAATGAAGTTATTCAGGATGAAGGTATCTCAAGATGGGCACCTGAAAAATTGAGATGTCTTTAAGCAGATATAATGGATAGAAAATATTAGATAATCTCAGAACTGTAATCAAGTTTTGGAATTATTCTATAGGTATGAGTAGGTAAACTTTCAATTACAGAATGCCTTTTTCAGATGCCATGAAGCTATACATGTTGGTAAGAAAGAATGTTACCCCTCTCCCTGAACCTGGCTTCATTTGTACACGCAGATTATCGTGACTACAATACTGTCAACATTACAGCAAGGTATAATTAACTTTATAGATTCTGCACCTCTGATTTTGCCACTGTGTGCTCTCGAGGCATAGCTGTATTTATTACTCCTAAGAAAGAGGTAATTTTCAAGCGGTATTGATCTAAAGGATGATTAAATTTGGTCATTTAACATCACTTTCCAATTCCTGATTTGTGATATTGCTATTTTCTACAAAAGTGTAATCCCACAAGCAACATAATGTCAGAGCCTGAATGCTTGCTGTTTTGCAAGACCTGAAAGATTAATGGGAGGATGCTTTAATGTCTAGGTATTTCCTTTCTCTACACTGTGGTGACTAAATGTATTCTGATTGAAACAACATTTATTTTCACTGATGCAAGACGTTTCATTAGTGCTTTTCAAATGGAGACCTGTAGGGCAGTGACAGAAAAGCTGCTACCATTTGAAAGATTTTTCAACTTGTAACTTGTCTTAAAGTGGTAAATGGCATTAATATTTAAAAAGTTTTAAAATTGCATATAAAGATTTGGGAAGCCCAGAGATCTGATTTGGCCCATATGGAAAAAGTCTATGGAAGAAAAGAATGGAGCAATATAAACGTTTAACAGGTTTCTATGAAGGCGGCTTTAAAAATATATATAGTTAAGCAGAGAACGATTACTTTGTGAAAGTATGTGGTTTATTCACTTTTAATCATTCAGATTCTATGACAGATATATTTTAATGTTTTGCATTATATTGCAAAAAGAAACCCAAAATCCTAAAAACAAATTAAAAAATCTATCAGGTGCCTTATTTCCATAGCACTCATAGGGCTGCAGCTGTATTGCTGCATCCAATTTGAGGCTCAGCAGTATCAAAAAAAAAAAAATGACTGAAGAGAGTATGGTAAGCAAATGACAAGGCACTAAGATGGGTGGTTGGTTGGAGCACCTGATGTATGGAGGGAGCTGCATTTATTTATCCTGGAGAACACTAAGAGAGAGAGGCTCCTTGGAGTTTTACAAAACTCAGCTTGGCAAAGGACCTGAACAACCAGACCTAGCGCTGAAGCTTGCCTTGCACCAAGCCAGAGGTTGAACCCGGTGAGCGAGGGAGACGCTCTCTAGCTGCAGTGCTCTATTCTGCTGCTTACCTTCCTGCTACAGCAGTTTTGCACATTCTGTTCACAAACAGAATGCAGAAAGAAGACATTCACAGGCAATTTGTCAGCCAGGTTAAGTCCATGCTACTGTAGCTGAAAGACTGCAGGCTGCCTCAGCTCCTTTCTTCATCCATTAGCTCAGCTGTGTCTGACTGCTTCCACTGCCTCGTGAGTCCTGGCACCATGTGTGTGGTGAGCAGGTCACACACGTGGTTCAGCTGAAAATTAATACTGCAAACTTAAAAAGAATGAGTAGTTTTTATTTTTCATTGAAAATAAGAACTTGTGTTCTAGCCTTGTGACTACTGTTGATAGTGTTGAGAAAGCACCCTGAAGTAGAGGAGATACATGCAGCCACTTTTTGGGAAGCCTTCCTAAAATGTCTTTTTTTCTTCATTTCAGCTGTGGTTTCACAGCACTGACATTCAGGTCTGGGTAGTAAACCAAGCTTATCTTTTTGCCTGGTTAAAGTTCAGTTTGTGATAGAACTTTTCTTCTTCAGACGGGAGAACAACACTATGCAAACAGAACTCCATTGAAATAGGAGAATTCACACTACAAATTGGTAGCAAAGTAACAGAGTTGGTGGTGAAATGTTATAAAAGTCGATACATCATTTAACTGGGAGTTCTTTTGGTCAGTTGTATGCTTGATGATATATACTTATGTATGGAAAAGTGTAAATTTATTATCAACACAAACAGAAGTATCTCTGTAAATCATACAGGGCATGGGAAATTTTTGTTGCAAGAGAATACCACACTGTTAACTAATTGATCATAAGGCCACTGTGAATCCAGTTACAAGCTTTTGTATTTACTAATTCTTTTTGGCAAAAAAAAATTAACAAAATTGATTGTGCTAAGTGCTTCATATATCTTATGCTAAATATCATTTTCTATATACCCTGAAAAAAATTCCATTTTATTTTTTGATAATGTCCAGCTTGATAGCCATATTTTGCATACCTAAGTTTCTGTAAAGCAAAGACTACTATGATACTTAATAATGGGTTAACTTTTAGCAAAAGCCTCTCTTCGCTTGCTTGAAGACTATTTCATTGTAAAGAAACCCCAGATCTATAGAAAGATATTAAGGTGCTTTTAAACTCTCTATGTATTTAAGGTATGGAATCACTTACATCTGTCTGTTTTCAATGAGGCTGGAATTTGAAATGAGAACCAATTTGCATTGCATTTACTCTGCCTCAGATGGCTGTGTTAGGGGAAAAAATTAAAAAGGAAAAAAACGCTATCCTAGTGGATGTAGACCTAGGACTAAGAGAGGTAAACAAAATACACTTACTTAGAAAGTTGCCCTTTTTTGCTTGCTACTTAACACAGCAGAAGAAACATTTCTAACTTGAGAAATAAATGGAAAAGTATCCATATAAAATAGAAAACATACCGGAAATACTCTTCCTCAAACTACATATCAGAGTTGAATTTACATTACAGAATGAGATGTGTGCGTGTATGTGTTTATATCTTACATGCAGGAAGTAAATTCTGCCTGAGAGCATTTGAGACAACATGATGATTGTTGTGTTTATTGCTTATTCTTTCGAACCAGCTGCAACTTGATAGATACACACGGAGATGAAGAAGAGTTTCTTCTTAATTAGAAAGAATGTAGTGTATTAGAAAGAACTGGTATCAGTTGAACTGGCTTTTGCATAAGCTTTATGAAAAAGGTTCCTGGTATAGGTTTGACAGGACTTTATCATGCTGTGCTTTGATAAAACTTCGTGTTACTGATGTTACGTTAGCAGCTGCAAGATACTCATTAGTGGCAAATATCACTAACATCAGAAAAAATAGATGGGGGATTAGATATGGAAGTATTTGTGCCAATGTGGGAATGATGACTGGATTTTTTTCCTTTAACAACATATTTTCCATGCTGTACCTCATAAAATCTGTTCTCTGTGTACTGGTTATATACTTTCTGCCTAAAGGGTTTTCAAAGTAAAAACAAACGGAAAATGGCATAATCTCAAGGGTTTTTATTCTCTCTCTCACTGTGAAGGAAAAGAAGGCAGCAGTTTATATCTTGGCATGAAGTAGATGCCACTTCAAAGACCCATAGCTGAGAGTATATACAGAGAGGGCACAGAAGGCATTTATAGCTCTTACTGGGTCAGAGGAAAACTAAAGTTCAGAATTCTCTTGAGCCTCTCTTGGAAGACCAAAACTAAAAATTGGAGAATGTCCAGAATCTTAAATTGCTCTTTAAATAGGAGCATGGGTTTTTAAGATGTCTTGAGGTTTGTAGTAGCCAAATGTCACTAAGTATCCTCTTTTGAGAGGATGAGTAAGGAGGGAGTAAAACTGCATTTTGAGGGAAACTGTTGTTATGATTATTGTTATTAGTTGTATTGGGCTAAATGTACAACAGTTTATGTAATCCTTGGGACAAGTAAGACTTACTTAGGTGAATGAGGACCACAGATCACAACTGCATGTAGTAGGATAAATTTGCATACTTTCTGATAGGTAACTTTGAAGTCAGTGGAAATTTTGTTATTGACTGTAGGAGGGGATAGATTTTGACTGGGGATTTTATGAGTCGTCTGAAGCAGGATGTTGGGGAGCTGAGCCTGCCTCACCTCAGCTTTCCTCAGCAAGCCAGAATTGATAACCAACTGCATTCTCAGTCAGGACTGACTTGTTTGTATAGTCAGTATCAATGTGTGCATACATATAGGTAAGAGAAATAGTTATTTACATAGCATCATAGTTTAATGTTATAAACAGTATGTTGGCTTTAATTTTGAAATTTATATAATGTTGATATACGTGCACACGTTTATGTATATACACACATATGATATATTTATTTACACACACACGCACTCACACATATATATATAGACACATATACTTATCTACATACCTATAGCAGCAAAGTTTTGTAGAGAAATAGAGAAACATATAGAGAATACAGAGAAATTGCAAGCAGAAGAGAGAGGAATGCAGGAGACTGAAGGAACAGAAATACATTGACAGAGAGGATGGAAGATGGAAGGATCAAAAAAACACAGGAGGAAAATATAGGTAGAAGAAAGTGATGGAAGCAGCCAAAGCTGGAGTGATAGATAGAAGGGATAGAAGTGCATGCCAGAGGTTAGTTAATTACAATGTTTCATGCCACAGTCTTTTTTTGTGTGTGTTTTGTGTGCTCTTTCTTTTAACCTAAAAACAGGATAATGAACAGGATGTTGCTTGTTCTGAGCAGGATTTCTCTCTCCCAGCTTGAAGTGTCTGCAGAGTACATGGAGATACCTTTGGATGAGCTAATCACTCCAGTCAATGGGAAGGAAGAGGTGCTTTTAGGTATTAAATGCTTATGCTAGGATGAATTAAATTAAACTCTCGGAAGTACCTTTTTCCACTAGCAGTAAAGGGAACCTAATGGAGTGTCTCTTAGCTGATAGCATCAGAGTGTAAAACCAACCCTCCTGCAATATCAGAAGGAAAAAAAAATCTCAAGGTTTCTTTTTCTTAAAAAAATATTTTTTCTACATTTTTCACAAGCAACATCACTTCCAGAATAAATCGATTCTTAACTGTGCTTTTTCTTTAGTGTTGGAAAGGAAGATTTCGACAAGACAAAGCAGAGAGGAGCTGATAAGAAGGGGAGTTCTGAAGGAAATGCCTGAGCAAGGTGATAACAAATTACCTAGAATTTGGTTCTTGAGCACTCAACATGGATCTAAACATAAAGAGCACTAAACATAAAGACCCTATTTTATTGTTTCCATATAGCATAAATAAGTATAAGGATGCAAATTTGAGGTGTGAGAGATAATATGAGATAGCTGACAACTAAAGGTAGAGATGAGATTTGTGTTCTTTTCATGCTTCTGACATATATACACTGTATGACTTTTGGTCACATTGCTAAATATTTTGATGCTCCCTGGACAGTGCAAAACTTTTGGAATTAGTTTTTAATCTATTTTTTTTTTGAGTCAAACTCTCTTTTCTAAGGCCAATGGAAGGTGATAGGGAAAATTTAGGCTGAAAAATGAAAGCACTTGGGGCCATGCCATCACCCTTTATGTTTCACTGATGTAAACCAAAGGAAGTAAATCAATAGCTGCTGTTTCAGATATCAAAATCTATCAGTGTTGGGACTGATCATACAAATTCAACCACTATATCATAGACCACATTCAAAAATAGCACAAACATAGAAGTCTATGGGGAAGACATCACTATATCAAAACGCTGTAAGGTTTAGTATCTGGCAACCAGATTTATTTGTATTTGGAAAGGCCTGAGCAAACTATATTTACCACCTATATGGTGTATCTGATTATGTTTCTGAAATACTGCTGTTTGTTTTTTATTCCTTTTGACCCTTTGGTATTGTTTCTTAAATTCTTCATCTTGTATATATCTAAATCCAATAAAAATCTTGTAACTCAATTTTGTAGTCTGAAATTAAGCCATCCATCATTTTATCAAAAAATCTATTAAGATGTTGCCAGTAGAGAGAAATGAGTGTAAACTTAATGGTTTCCAAAAATAGATTTCTCCTAGAAATTGTGTTACTCTGTCTGGCCTAAGAATTATGAAAGTGAGTTCATGAATAACTCAATATTTACATTCCTGACAGCCTCATATACACTGATATTTAGAAATAAAGAGCTTTTTGTTGCCGTGTTACATCACTGGTCTTTACAGTGTTACTTTTATTACAAAACTATGACATTCAATGTAGCTGGCTTCTGAACTTGTCTCTGTCACTGTCTTTGACTTAAAACAAAAAATGTAAGCTCTCCGTACCTCATTTTTTATGTCTCTGAGTTTATTACATTTTTTTGCTTCATACTTCACTGTAGAGTTCTGTGACTTTGTTGATTGGTGGTCATAAATTGCATTTAGACTCTTGAGACAGAGAATGCAATGTCTTAACAGTTCAGGTTGGTTAAAGCCAGTCTGAAGATAAATACTAACGTCTGTCTTAAAAATATGTATACTTTGGTTATTAGTCTCTTTCACCCTCCACTTTTAATCCATTACAGAGACTGTGCAATCCCATTGGCTCAGAACAAAGGTAGAAAAGTATGTAAATGAGCCCATTTTCTCCCCCTCCTCCTCCCCTCTTAAGATGGCCATCAATCCAGACTCTGTTGCCTGCATTACATGTCCTTCATGTCTGAAGAATACTGTAAATTTTAAGGAACAGTTTGAATGAATATGGGGTTGATTTGAAGTTGCTAAAATAGAAAGGCAAGTGATATAGGAGAAGAATTTAGAAGACATGACTGTGAAGATGGAAGCTCAATGATGAAATTGCATGGAATCTTGAAATATAAGAGGTAAGAAATGTGAAGATGTAAGTATTTTACATGGAATGAAAAAGAAGCAGAAAATAGTAAGTCCAGAGAGATGTTTGCCAAACCGTGATATGAATAGGACATGAAGAAGTTATATGTGAAACATAAAGGAAAGAATGGATTTGTGAACATCTGGAAGAAAAAAGCAGAAGTGGTGGAATGTTACAGTGAAATAAGAACAAAGCCTTTGGATCAGATGTAGTTGAGGAAAGATAAAGAAGACAGAACTTAGTTTCTGCACAAGTTGAAGTTCGTGCTTGGATGAGACTGGTCAGATTGACCCATAGAGTAGCTCAAGGTGGTGAGAGAGGCTACGTAATTGTACGGATATTGGAAACTGCTAAACATCCAGGTATGATAGGATGCAACAAGGGAGAAGACAAGAAAAGAAAGGAATTACCACAGTTAAAGAAGCAAGACTCCAGATAAAGCTGTGTTCATTTTAGATGGGGGATGAAAGAATCTAGTAGGAGGAAAGCAGTCATCTATGTGAGCTGCATGTGAAGTGTGGGCAAGGTAGGGCAACAAGTTTTAGAAATAATCTGAGAAGAAGCTCAGTGGTCTATTACCAGTGATTTTAAAATATGTGGGAAACAGAAACAAGTCAGTTAGTAAAGAGAGGAAGCTGTGAGCCAGGAAGAGAATGTAGCATTTTTCATGAATATAGAGACAAACAGGAAGGAGTTTACTTCAGGAGAAAAAAAAAAAATATATAGCTAAGTTCATCTGAGGTCATCAGCGTAAGTAAATAAAATACCATCAGTTCGAGGAAAGAATTTATAATGCAAAATTCTAATAATGGTAACGTGTGAAACTGGAGGTCCTTTCCTTTTTTTTCCCAATTGGATAATGGCTTTGTGACCCATTTTTTTCAATAACTGAGCACATATATTCTGAGAAATCCTGCCTGAATTCCTTGCCGATTTACCTACTGGAATACATCACCGTCGTCCTGCAATGCAGTTATGCCCCTAGTTATCCTGAGATGGAGCCTACTGGACCACATTGCATTTTGGTCTATGCACCTTTCTTTGCGGGTGCATAGATATGGGAAGGAAGAGAATGTGCACAGAGTGCATGTCCCTAAATGGATTCACAGAGCCGGACCTGAAAACTCACAGAAACTTCCAGGCTCACTACTACAGAGGTATTCACCCAAAGAACCTGGATTTATGTAGAGTTCCTTTACAGAATTACTTTTCAGAGCAGATCTACAGCCTCTTGTTTTACATTCAGTAAGTCCTTCTGCTTTGTTTCCATGGAAATTTAAAAGCAGGCAGTTGTTTGTTGTCAGTAGGTGCTACAGAAACAGTTAAATTAGACAACAGCTTTTTGATTTCATTGCAGATGGTGATGTAACAGTAAACTTTGAAACTTCAAATGGACACACCATAGCTATTAGTGAAGAAACCATCCCAGAAGAAAATATTGTAAAAGCCAGTGGAGATAATGGTGCTTTATCAGAGAAAGAATCTGCAGTAGAAGGAAAAAAAGAAGATCAAAAAGGTAAACACATTCTTCACAACTTGTTTTCCGCCTACTTAAAATATTAACAGTCTTCCGTTCACACCAATACATGCTGAGAATTCTGTTCTGCAGCAAGACTGCCAGCAGAACCTGCCAAGAAGATAGACTTGTGAAACATCAATATTTCATCACTGGTAGGCATGTATTTTACTGTGGCTACAGGAAGGTCATAAAGAGAAGCATGGTCTTAGCATGAGAATGTGCGAAGGGATGTTTAATTTCTAAATTCAATGTACATTCTTTTCCTTGTAACCATGAGCAAACCTTGGTTCCAGGTTTTCCTTTTGTGAAAGGAAACAGTATATGCATCACCTTCCAGTATTATTGCAGCAGTTGTTCAGAGTCTAAATGATCCAAAGTGTTTAAACCACTTAAAAAACATTTATGATTTTGAAAGTAACTTCAGCAGCTTATTCTATTGATTTTCATTAAGTTTTGAGCAGCTGTAGTCCATTTCTTCAGAAATATTCAAGAGGAAGGCTACTACTACAAATAGAACATAGGCTGTTTATGAGAGGTGTGGTTGGTGACTATGTTTCCTCTAGATGGTGAAATGTAGTAAGTACCACTAATTATTATTATCCCAAGTCCATATTGATTTTTACCTTTATTCAAGTCCACTGTGGTAGTAAGAGCTTGAATAACAAAATGTAAAGACTAAGCTGGAATCACAGATTTGAGTCTCTTTTGTTTTCTTTCTCTAGTATCTTATTCTTTGCTGTCAACAGAAAAGTTCTTAAATACTCTTCTATTTACTGGATTTTCCTAGAAGAAGGGTACAACAAGGGTACAAAAGGTCAAGATCTTTACAACTGGCCGTTGGACGGAACAGTCCTTCCAGTATGTTCTGGTAACCTCTACCTAGTGATAAATGAGCCTCTGGAGGTTGAGAGGGTCGGGTCAGCTAACTCAAAAATCTGAATTCTTCTCTGAGCTATGTAAATTACTTGAGTATGTAAAGCATACTAGGAGCTAAGAAGAACTGCCTTTCTTATGAGATTTCTAGTACTTCCTGTCTCCCAACAAGGCAGAAATACAAGATGAGACTTTTTATGGCATTTAAGTAGATATATCTTTTGGTGCCAACTAGAACCAGACATGTATAGATTGGAAGAAAAAGAGTAGTGAAAGCCATGTAAAACTCCTATAAAATGTTTCAAGGTAACTTTGGAATAGATGAGCTCAGTCATTATTTTATGCATTCCTAAATGCAAACTTCTGCAACCGTCGTGTCTTGGGGATTTTCCTAGGAGACCATCTCTTCAGAAATACACAATTCTAGCTGTTTTGGGATCCCATCTACCTGACTGCATAACTTAATGGAAACAAGAAGGTTCAATATCTATTTCAAGTATTATCTTCTGCACTTCCTGTATATTGTGTTGTCCTTACAGAGAGAAATTCAAAATATTGCTATACAGGACTAGACTGAGTACAGGAAAATATATCACTGTCAAACTACTATCACTCAAATCCTTTTCAGAAAATGAAATGTGTATTGAGGAGAGAGAAGAAAACCAATAAATGTTGGTTCTTGTTATTCTAGGCTTCATAAAATGTCAGTATGTCCGTATTATTATGCAAAGCACTTCAAATATAGCTTTCCTCTTACATTTAAACATTATAAACAACTGCATATGTTGCCTGAAAAAAGTCAAGATAGATATATTCCAGAATAAAAGTCTTCTACTCACAGAGTGTTAAGGAATGATTCCAAAGATCAGCAACACTTTCACTCAGTGCAAGAATTAAGTTGAAGTAAGTGCAGTTGAAGAGTAAGGTCCATCACATCACACAGATGTACCTCACTTACTAGATTAACCCTCTGTGCTCTCTGTGGCAGGTACAGTAGACATGCCCTGCACTCATTGACAGATCAAGAAACGAACCGCCAAAGAACAGGTAGCTAATCTTCACAGAGCATCATAATCAGAGCTGAAACAGGAATGCAGAAAAACTTGGCTCGCTGTCTTGTGCTCAGACTGTAGAGCATGCTGAGAATTGAAGTAGCTGAGGTGAATGAAGACCCTGAATTCCCAGGAGGGAATTCATCTTTGTGGAAATAATGCTCACCTTTGTAGAGTCGTGAACTAATGTGCTGAAATCCTAAAGGAAGTTCTATCCAGTTTATGAGACCTGAAGACAAAATTAATTCTTTTCATTTAGTAGCCAAGTATGCTGCTTCTAACTCCTGCCAAATCAAAATGTTCCCAGAAATACATTTCATGCCCTAAAAAATTATGAGATTATTTTAAAACTCTTATTAAAAAGTGGTGGTCTTTACTTGCTGTCTTGTAGATGTGGGTCTTAAAAATGAGCTTTTCATATTAATATGGTGATGACTGCTGGAGCTGGAAGTTTAGAAAGAACAAGTATTTCAAGCATTGTGATAAAATAGTGAGAAGTGATGGCAATGAGTAATGGAATGTGAACTATGTTAGGAGCTAAAAGAAGTTAAAAGAAGAAAGTTCTTTCAGTGTCATCCAGAGAAATACTGTACCAAAAAAGAAAAGAAAAACAATAGGCTCAATCATAGAACGTAAAAATGAGTTAAGCGAAAGTGAAGAAAAAGAGCCCTGAAAGTTGTCCCAGGTGCTGCCAGACAGTTCTATAAACTTTATACCCCATCTGCTGCTTGTCAGCTCACAGATGCTTTTCATATTTTGCAAAACAAAAATCCTTTGGTAATTTAATAGTGTATCTATTTCTGTTTGTCATAATGATGAGATGTTGGTCATACATGTGGGGCTTTTAAAAGGAAATTTCTCCTTTATGGCAGGGTAATAAAAGGCTGGTGACAGTTTTACAAAAAACAGGTAGTTGACTGATGAAGATTTGCAGATGACAATCCATGTGCTAGATCTTGTTCCTAGATCACATTATGTGTGTGCTTTTTTGAATTCTGTTTTTTTTCCTTTTTTGGGAGTAAGAAGAATTTCTAGCATTTTTTTTGTATATAAAATAAAGAGCTAAACTGTAACCATTCTCTCTAAGTATACTGAAAGAGGTACAGAATAGTGAGCAGTCTGGTAATATCTAGTCATCTAGTCATCACCTGAACTATATAAATGAGGCTGAATTTAAATCTTCCTAAAAGGAGAAGTCCTCTTCATAAGGCTTTTTTGGGACCAAATCCATCCACTAAGTTGGGACTGACTTTTATAGGAAAGATATCCTGATGTGACTCCAGAAATAGGATTGTAGACTTGAATTCAACAGGCCAACTACTGAGTTATTTAAGCGTATTCATATAGGAAGCATAAGGGAACGTAGAAACCTACATGCCCTCTTACTTTCCACATCTTCCATACACCAAGATACGGTAAAAGCAGGCAGTTGACCATGTAGGTATTTGAGAAGTTCTGTTTCGATCTAATAGTTCTTTTTTTATATATCTATGCAGTTAGCAACATAATATGACAGTCAATGTCTTTTTTTTTTTAATCTTGGTATTAATACAAAATATTTGAATGCTGCTGCTTTACTTCAGATGTTACACCTTTCCCTTTCCCTCTTCTGCTGTTTTGTCTGCACTGTCTCTGGTCTAAGACCTCTTGCGCATGGTGCTGTTGACATTATCAAGTGAGAAAGATTTGGAAATCTGCAGATGTACAAATCTGCTCATCCATTTTCAAGAAGGACAAATTCAGAATTAGAATTATAACAGAGAGGTCTGCTAAGACCATCATGAGACAGCTGTTCTTGTTCAGCCTAGCAAAACAGAGCCTGAGAGTCTTCATGTAACAGGTTGGTAGGCAGCCAGGACAGAGCACAGCTAAAGGACAATGCTGGCACAAGTGGAAATGAGTAAATAGTGACTGGAATACATTTATATGGGAAATCAAAGAAAGCTTTCTAATAAGCAGAATGGATCTTTTCTTGAACAGAGAAGCAAAGCTCTCTGCATAATTTGCAAAGGAAAACTCAGAATTGTTTGATTTTAAGAGCCTTAGCCTGCAAAGGTTACCAAATCGTACAATATTTTTATTTTCCATTTTACGTAGCATTACTCCACTGAGTTATGCTGGTCTTGCAAGAGAAGAGTACTTCGTAATTGATGTAGTTTATGTGCTCAACTTGCAGCCCTATTGGTTCTCTGTTTGTAAGCTAGTGTCATATCAGTGTTCTAGCTGCAGAAATGGGAATATCAACAGTATATGACAAAATCTGCAGGTTGAAAAACTTGGGCCTTCAATTGCTCAAAAAATCGTAATAGTGAAAAAAATGCATGTATTATACAACCCAATTGTGTATGGCTTCTGAAACTATGTCAAGGATTTTCATAGCTATTTAGTACCACCATTTGTTCCATAGTTCGTAAAAGATACCATATTTAGCTTCTAAAATAAGTCATCTGATTTTCCACTGAATATGGCATGCTGGAATCTCTCTGAAACTCTCTGAGACTTGAAAAGTCCTCATGAGAGCTGCTGTATACTGAGTATTTTTGCAATCCTAGCCATCATTTAGGTGTTTACACAAGAACACAGATTTCTTAAAAATCTGTCCCTGATCATAGTTTCTGGGAAAAAGAAAATCTGGTCTCAAACTGAGCTTTCTTGAAAGTCTGTCCCTTAGAAGATTTATTCTAAACATAAACATATTATTATTGATCCAAATGCTTAATGAGACATTAACATTTGCTTTGCTTTCCTTTTAAGAGTAATTTATAGGCAGATTGCTTTTAACAGATGTCTTAATCAAAGCAGCAGTGAATAAAAGATATTCCTATCCGATGGTCTTTTGGAGACCTCTTGCTAAGGTCCAGTTCCTGGTGAACAGTTGTCTACGTTAAGAAAAACAGCAGCTATAAAAATACATTGCAGTTGGTACTGAGGTACCACGGAGATGTTCTTGAACAAATTGATGGCCTGAACTGATTCAGATGGCTCCTTGGTTTGGCAGTCACAGCTGAGACACCAAAAAAAGACCGGGCATGAAGACCAAGGGCCTGTATTCAGGCAGAATCCTGTTAGGGAGGTACAATTACAACATAATTATGTCTTGAGTCATTTACAGTCATCAGACCATCACAGTCACTGTTTGTTCAAGAACATGCTTCTGTTGCCATTATTGTTATCAGTTAATCATATTATTGCAGTGCTTATCTTTCTATACCAGAAATGTACAGTGTTTTACATAAACACAGAACAAATACAAAATATGTTCCCATGGACTTGAAGTCTGTGACAGAACATTGTGGTTTGGTACTGAATAACAAGAGGGAACCTGCCCAGGATAACAACCAAAATGCCAGTGGCCTAAAAAATGATAGGTTCGGCATCATAGCATTGAGGTATTTGTAGGAAGATGTTAGCTTTGCGACTGCTTGCAGGGAGCTCCTTCCAAGTGTGAGAGGCGGTAAAGGAAAGGCAGTGGAAAGTGTCTGCATCAAACATGGTTTGCAGGCACCAAAAGCTGGTATAATGGGCTTATCACCTGGGAACTGGGAATTATTAACTTATAAGTAAGTGAGAAAGAGCAGCTTGGGCAAGAACAGATTGTTTGCATCCTGGACATTGAGAATTATCAGTTTATATATCATGAGATAAAAAAAAAAGATAGAACTAACAAAGGAACAACAAGAGAGATGACATGGTCAATAGCAGTCACCTTTGCCACAGCTTCCCTTAAGAGTATGGGCAAGAAGAGATTCAACAGTCAAGGCGAAAAAAGAGCATTTAGGCAATCAAGATGTGATCAAGACTCACTGAGAGCTGTAACTATCCTGAGTAGACAGGAAATGTGAGTCTTGGTGCTGCTGTGCAGAAGGATTCTGCCAGATTTTGATAGGAAGTACACCTTCAGAAGGCGGCGGTATATAGAATGTGGAAAAAAGGACAGGCCCCCTGGGAGAAATACAGGAACACTGTCAGGGAATGCAGAGATGCGACAAGGAAAGCTAAGGCGTGTTTGGAACACAATCTGGCAAGAGACGTTAAAAATAACAAGAAAAACTTCTTCAAACATATTAACAGCAAAAGGAAGATCAGAGGAAACGTGGGTCCGCTGGTGAACGGGATGGGCACCCTGGTTATGAATAACACAGAAAAAGCAGAGTTGCTGAATGCCTTCTTTGCTTCGGTGTTTACCAAGGGCAGCCCTTTAGAGCCCCAGGCCCTAGGGACAAGAGAAGAAGCCTGGAGAGAGGAAGACTCACCCTGGGTAGAGGAAGATTGGGTCAGAGAGCACCTAAGAAACTCGATACTCACAAATCCATGGGCCCTGATGGGATGCACCCCAGAGTGCTGCGGGA